TAAAAATAATTATTTTTAATAAATATAAATAAATTATAATTATTAAAAATAAAAAAATAATTAAAATTTTATATAAATATACTACATAAAATTTATATATTAATACGTCACCGTTCGTAATAATAATTAGGTTTGGCTTAAAAGAATAACAACCTTGACGTTACGCAAGCAGTAAATCTGAAGTCGTCTCGTGGTTCCACGTGTCAAAAGATTATACACTCACTCGTGTCATTCCAACGGCTATGATTAAATCTTTAGTCGTGAAAACATCTATTAATTCGAATTGAAAAAATTTCATATATTTTAAATAAAATTTTGAATTTCATGTTGTGAAATATAAATAGAAAGATAGATATTATGAGAGTTTTACAATCATCTAATCTGATACCAACGAGAGGTTGGATCAAGTGGTAAGTGGTTTGTTCCAGTTTAAGTAAAGTCTCGAGTTCGAGATCTTGTGAATGCAGCAGCTCTCACTGGAGACTCACCCACCATTTTCAAGTGCGCGACGTAGGTCGAGTCTGGATTAATCGGACGAAACATATACCGAATGACGGGAAACCAAAAAAAAAAAAAATCATTTAACGTGATTTAATTTTATATTAATTGAAATTTAATATAATTTTAGAATATCAAAAAATTAATATAAAAGAAAGAGGTTTCATTTTCAAAAAAAAAAAAAAATTGATTCTTCTTAAACAAACAGTTGATATTTACATAATCCGATTATGACATTTCGGAAGAAAGTTGGTGTCTTTGCGTTATAGTAACAGTTATGAAAATGAATATATCTAAAATTAGCTGAGTTGCGTCCCCTTTTATGTGGGGCAATGTATCTAGTAATGTTATGGGCGGCAGCAGAGGTACTGGGGATGCAGATTGCAAGAACCAATGCATCAACAGACTACAGCTGTAACAGCACGTGGAATGGCGGCAACAACAGGGGATTTAGCCAATGAGGGGAGGGGTGAAGTTGGTTCTGCTTATGCTATTGGCAAGGCCAAGTGGGTGGGGGATTAGTGTGTGTGTGTGTGTGTGCGCGCGCGCCATTTTGGGTCGGTCTGTATTTGTCCAATTACAAAACCTTATATAGCATTTGGCTTCGTCAGACTCTGTTTCTGCTTGTTCATGCAACAGCACCATCGAGGTGTAGTGGTTTTTGATTTGTTTAGCCTTGGGGAAGTTGACAAAACCAGCCTTGATGAATTGTAACAAAAGCAACCCCACTTTAGTGCTGGCATCTACCCTAATTCTTATGTTTGTTTTCAGCCCTATATGGGATTCTCACGCAGGGACACAATATCTTGGTGGATCATTGGTACAAAGATCCTCTTGATCTATTGATATTTGATGGATTGGTTAGGAAACATTCTTTTGTGTAATTAAGGAAGAAAATATCATACAACACTTGTTCATTTCTGCTGCTTCACTGATTTGGTCCCCCCACGAGAAGGCTATAGATAGCCTAGAACAATCCACGAGGTACAGAAGATATGTATAATCAAGAAAGAGTTCAACTTGAGTCCCCCCACAAAAGTCCTGCAAAAGCCATCATGTTTGTGTTGTCCACAAATGGTTCTCACATGCACTGGGCTACATCAAGAAGTTTGTGGAGTAACCGAGTTAGTGATTGTCATTCTGTTTTGACGGTGACAGTGAGTAAAAAGGAGATATGAAGGATGATTAAGACAGAGCAGGATGTGGGTTTCAATACTATTACAATGGGTTAAGTGAGAAAACGACAGTAGAGTCTTAAGACTGAAAGCTAGCATGCAGTGAGAAACAAAAATGGAAAGAGGTAGATCCTGCTTCGAATCATAATAGGACAGAGGAATCAAAGGCACATGGAGGTTCTTTTTTTCTGCAATAGAAAGCAGAAGTAAAGCGGTATGTTTCTGAACTTGGGGATTTTGGTGCTAGTCTTGTTTAATTTGCCTTGGGACTGAAAAGTATGTTGCTAATATATCTAAACTACTTTTAAAAGAAGTAAATTTTCATCGACAATAGTCAGGATGGCCGAGTGGTCTAAGGCGCCAGACTCAAGTTCTGGTCCTCGAAAGAGGGCGTGGGTTCAAATCCCACTTCTGACATCTATGTATTTTGCTCAATTCCCTCTTTTCCATCCACAAAGGTACACCAAAACAGTTATTGGATCACTACCTTTTCTTTTAATTTTTTTTTTCTTCTCAATAATGGTTTGGTTCAGTTCAGTTCATCAATATTCCCAACCCTGACTATCATTATTAACATATGGCCGAACACCCTACTTGCATCACAGATGGGGTGAGGGTCTACTTCTCAGTTCCCACATCAAGTTTTAGTAGTTCTTCTAAGGAACATCATGAACATGTTGAAGAAGAATCAATTCATTAATTTAGGAATATCAATAATTCATTAGTTTTATTGAAGGTAAACCACGGCCAAAAAAATGAAGGAAAGCCATAACTCAGTTACTAGTTCTACATCTTGATTCCTGGTAGCTTGGTTAAACTCTATATTAACTAAGAATATAAAGATTAAAATTTATTAAATTTATATAACTTTTATGTAGTTCTCAATATATATATTTTTAACAATACGAGGTAGCGTATTTATGTGAAATTTTGTTACCGATCAAAGATTAAAATGACATGGATTGCAAGAAAAGAAAGGAAATTTGTGCTCAGATCACAATAAATTAAAAACAAGTAGTACAAGAATTACAACATAAATGATTGCCTTAGGCGAAACAAAAATGAAAAGCATTTTCTTTCTTCTTCGTTATTTTCTACTGTCCAATCAAATACAAATCCACAATTCTCCTAGTAATTGCTGGACCAGATGGCGTATCGGCTTGAAGTAACTTCCTTGCATTCGCTGTACAGGCTTTCTAGACATCTCATTGGTATTGCAGATAATGCGCAGTAGCTTGTCTATCAATGGGGATATGCTGCATCTCACCAAAAAGAAAAATGGCAATACCTTCAGAGCCCCTGGAAGATGCATAGCTCCCAAAGTTGACACAACCCTATGCTTCATTCACATTTAATCAAACAGCTGTGGAGCTATTCAAGAAGCTAAGGAGCTATCTCATTAGATCTAAGAATACAAAACCATTCCAGAGGCTATGCAAGAGCATGGATGGCAAAAGATTCCTTGACCGTGCAAAAACAACCCCCATTACGGCTCCCAGGAAGATAAGTGGTAGTATTGTCTGTACATTAAAATGTGCCAGAGCAAAGGCCACTGAACTCACCAGTATTGCACACCATACAGGCATGTATCTTGTCAAGGAAGGGAGAAGAAAGCCACGGAAAACAATTTCCTCCCATACAGGAGCACAAACTGAAACTACTGTTGCATACAGTGCCATGGCAACTGGATCCCTGGCCAAAATTGACTGCTCGACACTTGAACGAGCCATGGGTGTAGGTGGCATCAAGGGCAACAAATGGAGGTTGAACTGTGACAGTCGGTTGACCAGGGGAAACATGAGGCATCCCAGCACAACGTCTAACTGCCAGTTTCCCCTCAAGCTAAACCTAAACCAGTCAGATGGAAGGGGACGAAACTGGGACAGGCAGCGGTGGAGTATTGCAATACCAGCAAGGCCCTCAGTTACATCAGTCACAAGACTGAACAAAGCTTGCCCTCTGAATGTTAGAGATCCCTTGCTGAAACCTGCCATGTGTGCTGCAAAAGGAATCATCCATGACCCAATGAACCAGAATGCAGCTACCCACAGAAGCATAACCTGTGTTGGAACATAAAGAGTTCATCAAGCTGATATGGAAAATAGCTATAAACATTAGCACTCAACAGAAGATGAGGACAACTTAAGTCTTAGATGGTTTGATCTGGTAGAGGAAATGATGGGAGCTAGAGGTACACCAAAGATTTAATGGGCTGAAGTGATAAGAAAGTAAAAGACGGTAACCTGCAGTATTGTCTCTGCTGTCCAAGGTACAGTCCAACGGCTCCCTATCGCTTTCAGGGCTGTACCTGCAGCCTGCAAACATGCCTAACTGATTAGTTGAAGTGTTGCTCAGCAGATTCTTAGAATAAAAAAGGTATCAGGGATTGATCTATCACTTTCATTTTCTCTTTAATAATCATTAATCAGTATGAGGCCAATATAACCACCATAAAAAGTTGGTCGACAACAATATTACCAAGAAAAAATAAATTGCCTAGAAAAACTCTACACTAAAATGGAAATATAATGAAACAATGTCTATTTACCAAGTGCTTGAGCAAGAGCAAAACTTACAATTCCTCAACAGTCAAACCCCACCCAGAATTCCATATTAGCCCAAACTTCAGATCAATTGACCCAACTTATGAAAAGTTTTCTGTCTACCAATTCAGACTGAGAGATTATGGGAAAGGTTCTAAATCAAATAAAATACTCAATTCATCCATTATCAGTTCTAAGATCATGTTTTAGGTTGAATTTCTATAACAATATATATATTCAATGACCAACAAGAAATAGATTGAGGACATAGAATTTGCCAGAAGCAGTATGTATTGGAATTAAAAAAAAAAAAAACCATTGTAAAGACAGAAATCCATTGAATAGTGGTGATACCTGTTGGAGAATTGATTTCCAATCTCTTTTGTCAATAGATGACTTATCGATCTCCTGTTTTATTACTTCCTCGGGTAGAAAATGCTCAATGAATTCAGATTGCGAATTTTCTGAAGGAAAACTCTCTCGCCTAAAGCATGAAATTTTCCATTTCTGAAAATGAAAAACACAGAAAAAAAACACTATAATAACCCAATAGCAGCCCATCCACTATTCCATGAAAGAAAGCAAGAAAGCAACTTATAAAATCTATGGCATAACAACAAGAAAGGATGCTATCAGATTCAACTCAAACTATCCAATTCCTAAACAAAGATGCATGTAAATTCCAGGATACTTCAGGGCCTGACAGGCTGAGAAAACTAAATTGAGTTTACCATTTTTGACTCTTTGTTATCAATTTTCTCAGCAACTAAGCCGAACCCAATAAACTCCTACGAATTAGAAAACAATTTTAAACAAAACAAGCACTGAACCACTATTGTAATACAGAATATGGCATCAAATTTAAGAATATATAATCCAATATGCTCAAAAATCCAACACCGAAACATCATTAAAGCATTACTATAAACTCATAAGAAACGATCAACATAGTCATTAACTACCAAATGACTAAAAATCACACCTAAGTTGTATTGGTCCACTGTGGAGGTCAATACTTGTCTTTCCTTTCCTCCCTTTTTTTTTTTTTTTTTTCAGCAACCAAAGACAAGTAGATAAACCCAACAAACAATTCGACTCCAGATTTTCAAAAAACCAAACTCAAACACAAAGAAGCAAAACAAAGCTAAAAATGAATAAAAATCCAACCTTTAGCAAACATTCATACTTCAGCCAGGGCAAAAGCAAAAATACTTACGCTTTTCGAGAGCTTAAAATTGGACTCAACGATCCGAGAGCTCCGAGACAACGACAAGCTTCCGGGTCTCAAAACCCTAAACTTAGTTATAGATGGTGCAAGAATTGGTCGTTGAGAGAGGGAGTGAGAGCAGATGGAGCTCAACATGAGGCCCGGATTTGGAAAACCCTAATCACTAGCATTAACCAGGCACGCTAAACAAAAGGAATTGGATGGAGATTCTAGACTTTGGATAAGCAATTTGGGAATCGAAACCCTAATTCATGAAATTAGCTTTATCTTCAAGAAAAATACTTGTTTCTTTTTTAAACGAGAGGTAGAGAGATTTTTCTGGTGGCGGATTTGGTGTGTTTGGAAATGGATGCAGTTTCCAATTGTTGGGGAAAATTGGAATATTATAATTCTCAAAGTAATTAATTATGCTAGGAAATCACGTTTTCTGATATATTTTTGGGAATTCAATTACACGATAAATTGGGAATTATTAGTCAATGTCACAGTAATAGTAATCTTCTTTGTAAAATAAAAAATTATTATTATTATTTTTTACTTTAATTGTATAATGAAAAATAATTATTTTTTATTTTTTATCTAACTTCACTTACATATTATAGTATGTGAGTCAAATTCAAAATATTTTACTTTTAATAAAAAAAAGATGATAATTAAGTTATGTAAATTATTGACGTAAAATAAAAATGATTAGAAAGGGAGAAATTGAGTTTTTTTACCAATTTGGACTATATTCTTTTAAGACATAGGAAAGATTTAATAAGGAAATATAAAATATTTTTATAATTACACTGCATTTTTTATATGGTCTAAATTGAAACATATTATCCTC